GTCCCATCCTGTCCTGCCCAGCTGGGCCCTGCCCAATCCTACCTAACCTAGCCCTGCCCCAACCCAGCCCTGCTCTGGCTTGCCCAACCTGGTCCTACCCAGCCCTGCCCTACTGGACTGCAACAGGCATTATTGATCCAGGCATTGCAAAACAATGTCCCTCCTATCTGCCTTTCCTTTGGTTTAGCTTGTGTTCTTTTGCTGGGCCTGTGCCTGGTGTGAAAATGTGTGAGAGGAAGGCAGGGGCCTGAGGCTGAGGGAGGGGAAAGGGGCTTCAAAAAGGGAATCACAACACATGAAAAATTATGACAAAAAAGAAACAAATAGAAACTGAGAACAAAAAGCTAGCTAGGAGGGACACCACATGCATGGAACAGATATGTCACTGGGGCACCTGTATTGTACATGGTATCCACGTGAATTAGCGTGAAGATCCCAGTAGATACAAAAATGGAGATAAGCAGTTCACACAGACACACACACACAGACACACGAAAACAATGGCAGATGCACTGGAACTGGTGTGAGCTAATGAAAATAGCTGCAAACATACCCAACGCCTGTGGCAAAGCCCATGAGGTGCAGTCAGCCCACACTGGCACATTCATAGGGTGTGGTCCCAAGCAAAGTGGTTACCAAGGCTACAGATGCACAGAACATATATGAACCGGCTGTCATGTAATGACAGAAATTAACTGTAAGAAATTCTGCTTTGTAAGCATGACGTTTGCTTTGTAGACACATCACTGTGTCCCTATGTAACATACTCATAAATGGAACACCCAGGTTTCCTTGGGGTATGTTAGGACAGTCCCTCAGTCAGGTGGCCTGCAGAGGACATGAAGTCAAGAGAGTGAACAGAGCTCAGTAAAAGCAGTTAGTGCCCTGGCTGGGTAGCACAGTTGATTAGAGCATCATCCTGATAGGCTACGGTTGCAGGTTTGATACCCATTCAGGGCACATACAGGAATCAACCAATGAATGCGTAAATAAGTGGAACAGTAAATCAAGGTTTCTTTCTCTCTAAAATCAATTAAAATTAAAAAAAAAAATACACACAAAACTTGTGACACACCAACTAAATGCCATGTGTGGCATTTGTTTACCTTACATTCAAACTAACCCATTACAAAAGCAAAACAAAACACTTTTTTGAGATAATAGGGAAAGATTTAACATGGCATGGAATAAAGTTGGTACTGAGTAATTATTGTCAATTTTTGTTGGGTATGACAACAGTCATATGGTTATTCTGAATTTTTAAAAGTTCCCATCATTAGAGAATCATACTAAAGTAAATCCAGGGGAAATGATATGATGTCCTAGATTCACTTCAAAATGCTCCAAATGTATTCAATATTTTTTTTCTTCAATTAAAAATTATACACACTTTAAATGATTATAAAGTCAACTAGAGGCCCAGTGCATAAAAATTCATGCACTAGAGGGGGTGTCTCTTAGCCCAGCCTGCACCCTCTCACAGTTGGGAAGCCCTCAGGGGCGGGAGTCGACGCAGTGATCAGAGAAGGCAATGCACCCATCATACTTCTGCTGCTGCCACTGCTGGCAGTACAAGCTTAGGCCAGCCCTGGTTACCTGAGCCTCAGCGGCCCTGGAGGGCTGTGGGACTAAAGGGACTTGGAGACTCCAGAGGCAGGCATGCCAAGTGGCCGGACCCACCTGGAGACTGCCATCTTGAGGCTGTGGGTGCCGCCATCTTTGAGGGTGTGATGGTCAATTAGCATATTCCCTCTTTATTAGATAGAATGTTTATTAACATACAGTTCATTTTCAAAATTTAAAAGAATCTTCAGAAATGAGTAACTATTTTTTTCAATGCCTGTTTTCAAACTGGTGATCATTCTGATCCAGGCACTGCTGATAACGTAAAGCCATGAAATCTCAAACATCGAGCATCATTTTGTTCAGTATTTGTGCAACCTCAATTTGTCGACAGTTGCTGTTGAGTACCATAAACTTTATCTTTTGTGTAATCTTCATTTTAAAAAAGTCTAGTGGCACTTTAGGATAAATTTTCTTTGTTCAAAGCTTAGTCTGACTTCACCCATTATTTCAAATCAGCTAAACCTGAAAGAGTGAACACTGAGTTATCAGCTGTTAAAGTGTTATACATTTTGGGGATTTATCTATATGTATATACACACACATATACACACACAAAGAAATCACACGTAGTATATATATAAAATACAGTTAAATGTGAGTGGAAAACAATGTCTCAGATGAATGATCTCCTCCAGAGAACCACAATGGTTTAGCTTAACTATAGGTCAGCACAGCATTTACATGTTTAGATAATTTGTTAATTATGTTATCGAACTGTTATGGGCTGAGCTGTGCCCCTCCCAAAATCCATATGTTGAAGAAATACCCCCTTGCCTAAACCTTAGGAAATAGGTTTGTTAAAGAGGTAAAGGAGTTAAAACAAGGTCATCAGGGTGAGCCTTAATCCAATACAACTGGTGTCCTTATAAAAAGAGGAGATGAGGACACAGACAAGGACGGAGGGAAGGCCATGTGAAGCACAGGTGGAAGATGGCCATCCTCAACCAGAGAGGCCTCGGAAGAAACAACCCTGCTTGCTGACGCCTTCATCTTGGACTGCTACCCTCCACAGTGAGAAAGAAAGTTCTGTTGGTTAAGCCACAGGGTGGTACTTTATGGTGGCAGCCTAGCAAACTAATACAGAATCCACAACACGATTTTTTTTTTTTAATGTATCCTTCCTCTACCCTGCTTACATAGCAAATTATTTTCATCTGCCTAGCCTGCAAACCAGTAACGTCAGAAATGGTCCTAAATACACAGGTATTATATACGTTCATTTTTAATGTTTAAAAAAAAATAGCAAAGCAATCAATGTATCAGGGAGGACTGGGAAACAGCCCAAAGCACACTGTCGGGGGCAAACTGAAACCAAGACCCAGATGAAGGTTTAGCTCCAGTAACCGTACCACCTGTCACATTCCGGAAGCTTGGATCTATGAACCAAGAGGTCATGATTCTCCGTCAGGGCACATGTCCAGGTTGCGTGCCGATCCCAGTAAGGGGAGTGCAGGAAGCAGCCAATCAATGATTCTCTCATCATTGATGTTTCTATGTCTTTCTCCTTCTCCCTTTGATTCTGAAACCAATAAAAGCACTTTTTTTTTCAGTCACTTTAAAGAAAAAAGGGTAGATAATTACTTTTTTGGTAAATCAATCAAATTTATACTTTTTTTTTCAGATAGGCAAAAAATGTACTTTTTTGGTGTGCCATAGAATTTTAGTAACTGGTTTATTGTGCCATGAGATTTTAAAAAGTTGAAAATCTTTGGTCTGGTAAATACGTCAAGAATGAGTTATTGATGCAGATATCTGTGTCCTGCAAAAAAAGCTATCTTGTTCTCAAAATAGTCACTGTTTCCTCAAGAATGCCATCTTTCAGACATGATCACAATAGGGGACTTTGAGGAAGCCATCCAATTTGACCCAATAAAACAGACTGAGCTCTACTTCCCTCTAAAACTGAACCCTACAATAGTCACAAACTGATCCCTAGTCACTGACTTTTTTCCACCTAATACATCCACTCAGTAAATCTCACGTTTTTGTGGGGGTTTTTTTTGTGTGTGTGTGTGTTTTTTGTTAAAAGAGAATTTCCAGTGCCTTAGACAGGAAACCCTGATCCTGAGAGATACAGCAAAAAGTACTTGTAGAGAACAGGGTGGGGCAGGAATGGTGGTGAAAGTCCAGGAATCAACACTGCACAACCCAAATTCTAGGTACCTGGAGTGTGACAAGCAGAAAGATGGTAGCTGTGATGCACAGGCAAGATGCCAAAAGCTTCCTCCTCTGAATCCGCACCATGCTGCCCTGCCCCGGGTGACTGACAGAGGGCAAGCCTGGTCACCAGGTGTTCTCTTGTCGGCCCACAGCCTGAGACCATTTCACGTGGAGGAGCCATCTGGGTGTCAGTTTCCTCCACGGCCATTCCTGCTGGGACCCGGTCTCCATGACGGACTGAGATCAGAGGTTCCGAGTGGGCCTGGCTTGGCATTGAGAGGAAACAGCATGCAGTCTTCTTAAGCTATCATCAGAGCAGCTGGAGATTCTTCAGATCAGAGGGCATCAAAAAAACTCTGTAATAAACAAAGAATCATCTTTTAGCCATAGTGCAGACTTAATAAATGCAGTCTTTCAGGGTTATCATGTAAAAACCCAAAACGTTAAAACTAAAAGGAACCTTTGAAACCATGAAGTCCTCACTCATAGATAAGGAGACCAAAGCAGGGAGGTGAAGTGACTTGGTCAAGATCACACAGCCCATTGGAGCAGTGACAAGCCTACAACCAGGCCTCGAGTCTGAAATTCTGTTTCCACTTAATGTTCTCTGCCTCCTGAAGGTTGAATTCCAGATTTCATTTCCATGTAATCCCTTTCTTCTATCTAGGTTTCAAAGGAGTAGAAAGTAGAGTAGAAGTTATCAATCCTAAGGACCATCCACCCACTCCTGTAAAAATTAGGAAGAAAAAATAAGCAACAGTTCAGGCTTTGATCAAAAATAGATAATGATCCATTGGCCCCCAACTCCTCCCAAGCAAGATAAATTTTCGCATAACACAAAGAATTACGATCATTGATTTATGTGTTTCAACTTTAACGGTACAGATAATAAAGCAGTGGGTTATGTGAGCAATGGGATTCTCTGGACGTTTTGAAATAAGGTTTTCATCTATATGAAGTAAATAATCTTTTCAAACGTTTTAAAACTGAACTTAGTCCCACAAAAGACCTTTTATGCCCAGGGTTCTATAAGTCCAATGCCTTGAGCAAGTAACACTGTGGAGTTCAGAACACAGCAAGGATCCCTCTTCCTCTGATCCAGTAGTCGGCAAACTCATTAGTCAACAGAGCCAAATATCAACAGTATGATTGAAATTTCTCCTTGAGTAAACACCAGCAGAGGAGCAAAGACAAGAGTTTATTTACTTCTCTTACATCTCTTTCCGAAACAGGTATTTCTTACTAGCTAAGCAACAATGGAAATCCCAGCGAAAGCAGGTAAAAAGGATCCCCCAGATGGGCTGTGGAAAGAAGAGAAAATGTCTACCAGTGAAGCACTTCTAGACTATCACTTGCAAATAAAGGAGAATATAATAGAACGATTGATGGCTCAGATGAAGAATCTTGGAGAAAAGAACCAGAAGTCTCAGGATAGAAACGGACGCTTAAAGGATGAACAGATTTGGCACATACGGAACCTACTAAAGGAACTGAGTGAAGAGAAGGCAGAAGGATTAAAAGTAACAAGAGAGGATGTTGAAACAGCAATGAAAGAAAAGTGGAAGTTTGAAAGAGACCAGGAACAAAACTTAAAAGATATGCGCTCACAAATAAGTAATGCTGAGAAACTATTTCTTGAGAAACTCAGTGAGAAGGAATATTGGGAAGAGTACAAGAATGTAGGGAGTGCACAACATGCTAAACTCATTATCTCCTTACAAAATGACATCAATAAAGTGAAAGAGAATGCGGAAAAAAAAAAAAAAAAAAAGAAATTTCTTTGGAGAGCCAAATTTTTTAAACTTAAACTTCTTCTAACGCCACTTCTTCAAAACAGACTTGCCCAGGCCGTGGTATTTTGTGGAAGAACCACACTCCAGGGGCGAAAGAGCCTCATGTGGCTCGCAAGCAACAGTTTGCCCACCACAGTTCTGGACTATAGAGCATTGGTTTTTTGTTGTGTTGTGTGTATTTTTTTTTAAATGGTCTGATTCAAAGGTCTGATTATGTTTCTCAGCTATAGAATAAAGCATACTATTAGGAACCTAACAATGATGTAGAATTCAGGTTAAAAACTTTGGTCTTAAAGGCGTGCTCTCCACTCGTAGATCTACCTTGATTTACTTTTAAGTCCAGTCTTTTTTTCCTCCTAGCAACAACATGACTTAGTCTAAGAAACTGTGAAAAGTACATTTTCCTCCTTTCATCCATGGAATTCCCATGACCCACAGTGACTAAGAAAATGAACTCAAGAATCAGTCTGTGGGGATTCAAATCTCAACTCCCCAGCCAGTATAACCTAGCCTCTCCATGACTGAATTTACAGAATGTAGATGATAATGCTATCTAATCCAAAAATTACTATGCCAGTTTTATATAAGACTGTTTTCCACAGTCTGGTACACCAATGTCCAATAACTCTTTGCTACCTTATTTTTTAATATTGTTAGTTTTTAATATTGCTATTAAAAAATGCTGGCTCTGTCATTTTCCATAATGTAAGTTTGGACAAGTTACTAAATCTTTCCAAGCCTCTGTTTCTTCTGAGCTGTCTGCCATTTTTTTCCTTGCATAGTAGAAATATCAAATGATCATTTTTTATGGAAAAGCAGATAACAGCTAAAATTAATATAACCTAGATTAGGTAATGAAATAATATTATCACGTTAAGTGGGTATAAAACTATATCATTTTTAAAGATTTTTATTTTTATTTTTTTAAATATATTTTATTGATTTTTAACAGAGAGAAAGGGAGAGAGATAGAGAGCCAGAAATGTCGGTGAGAGAGAAACATCGACCAGCTGCCTCTTGCACACCCCATACTGGGGATGTGCCTGCAACCAACATACATGCCCCTGACCAGAATCGAACCTGGGACCTTTCAGTCCACAGACCGACGCTCTACCACTGAGCCAAACTGGCTCATTTTTAATGATTTTTAGATATATCACTCCCTTCAACCTTACTGATCACCATCTTATAAAGGAGACAAAGTGTATATAGTCTCAGTTCCCACAAATAAGGACACCAAGTCTCGGCGAGTTTAAGTGACTTGTCCAAGATCATAGCTTTTAAAGGTTGAAGTGGGTCTAGGAATCAGGCCACCTGACTGTGAAATCAGTGGGGGGGAACAGTGTCAGTCTGTTAAAAGTACACAGAGTCGGGAATACGGGAAAACAAAAGATGGAGAGAAAATGTGAGGATGTAGCTTGGGATCTTTTTATAGCTACCACACAGCTCAGGCCTAGCCTAGGGGCTTTTCAAGTCTTTACATGGCTGTCTGGACTATGACAGAAGAATTTAAGGTTACAAATTCCCTTCCATCCCAAGACCCTCAATTGTTGTTATATACCCAAAGCCACAAATACAGTGGGGTCTCAGGGACCAAGCCGTGGTTAAACACCCACTTCTGAAGAAGAGAGCCAGCTAATGTAGATGGTATTGTGATTGACAGCACGCAGCTATGAACTAGGCCTTGAGGCCTAGCAATCTAATATGTGGTATTAATTACCCAGGAGCTTATCATCAAGTCAGCAATCCCCAAACTGGTGAGACAGATGGGCCTGCAGAGAGCACTGTAAAGGCCAGCAAGCTCCATCGAAATAGGAGTCCGAGAGGAGAGCTCCCTTCTGTCTCCTCACTGCATGCGGAGTGAAAGTGAGTCCTCCAAGAGGGTGCCCCGGAGCACTCCTTTCGGGACGGAGCAGTGTGTGTGTGTGCTCAGACAGCCACCCATGGTAGACAACATGTGAATGGTTCTCTCACCAGCTCCTGACATGCACTATGCAGCCGGTGTGCACTGCCTGGGGCAGACCATCTGCTGCCAAGAGAGGGATCTGGAGCTGAGTGCAACTACACCTACCTTACAAGACCTATTCCATCCAAACCAGCAACACTTTCACCCTAAAATAATTCTCCACTCCTCTGCTTCATTTTGAGTTAAAATGCACAGAAGAGAGAGACTGGATATCTCAAAGTGCATTAGCAACCTGAGGATGCCAGCTTCAAACTTAAGCCATGTGGACTAGTCCAAGGTGTGGATTAAGGGTCTCAAAATGGGACTGAGAGATGATTTCTGTCCTGCACCCCTCAGGTAAGTTGAGAAACCATCCCCAGGTGATGCAAAGGACTCTCCTGCCCTGGCAGTTCCTGTGCCTGGCAGGGGAAGGAGCTGGGGACAGGAGGCAGAACTCTGAGGAGACTCCTTTGATTTTCCTCCTCTACCAACTGCTGAGTCAGTTGGGGTAATAAGACACTGTCTTACCTGAGCATAAGGCTCTACCAGGTAGTCTTTAGCAGGAATGTATGTAACTACCATACTTAAACTATTCACACTGAAGTATAATTCCTTAAGCAGGTTTGACTCTCCCAAAATATGTTTTCATTTACAATGCATAAATCTCTCGGATGGTGGCTGTTGGGGAAAGACAGATGATGAGGTAGGTTTGATGGAAAGGCCTAACGGTCTTTGGACAATGTTCCAGGCACTTTTTCCCTACTGCCCTTCATCTCTGCTTGCCATCCTTAACACTCTTCATGTATTCCTACTTGGGCACTCCAAAGCTTGATAACTTACGGTCCCACCACTGACCCCTCGCTGGGTTGATTCTGGAATGTAGATTGACTGTCTCTCCTCTGATTAAAAGCCTCAATGGCTTCCCAAAGATTTCAAGATACATCTTGAATAAATCTCATTGGTTTAGGAGATAACACAGCAAGCTCCCCACCCAGCAGACCTTTCCCTTTCCCCCCTTCTTCCCCAGGCTCCTTACTCTCTTTCTCTCTCCTAAGACCCAGGGCCCCTGCTTTGGCCTTTGTAAGTTTCTACATAAACTTCCCCTTGTAGTTTGAAACAAAACAAAACAACACTACCTTGACCTCTCTCCCCTTCTCTAACTTCCTTTCCTTTCTCCACCACACATGCCCTTGGTTCCTGCTATTCTTGGGATGTAGCTTCCTGCTGTGTGCTCTGGCCCCTACCTGCCAGTACACCATACCTCTTTCACACCTAGCTGTTCTCCAAGACCTTCAAGGCTGCACTCTTTGGGAAGCCTTACTCCTCCTCAATAGCAAGTCTGGGAGATCTAGACCCATATCCTCATGTGCTTGTTTCCACTATAACAGTAGACAGATGCAGGATGCTGGGGGATTGTAGGAACACTTTCTAAAGCGACTTCATGCCCTAACCCAGCGGTCGGCAAACTCATTAGTCACCAGAGCCAACTATCAACAGTACAATGATTGAAATTTCTTTTGAGAGCCAAATTTTTAAATCTGCCACTTCTTCAAAATAGATTCGCCCAGGCCGCAGTATTTTGTGGAAGAGCTACATTTAAGGGGCCAAAGAGCCGCATGTGACTCTCGAGCCACAGTTTGCCGACCACTGCTCTAACCAGTTTGACTCAGTGAACAGAGCATCTGCCTGCAGATTCAAGGGTCCCAGGTTCGATTCCGGTCAAGGGCATGTATCTTGGTTGCCGGCATATCCCCAGTAGGGGGTGTCCAGGAGGCAACTAGTTGATGTTTCTAACTCTCTCTCCCTTTCCCTTCCTCTCAATAAAAAAAATCAATAAAACATTTTTTTTTTTTTTTAAATAAAGCTGCTTCACCAAAACCGGTTTGGCTCAGTGGGTAGAGCATCAGCTTGCGGACTGAAAGGTCCAGGTTCAATTCCAGTCAAGGGCATGTACCTTGGTTTCGGGCACATCCCCAGTAGGGGGTGTGCAGAAGGCAGCTGATTGATGTTTCTCTCTCATCGATGTTTCTAGCTCTCTATCCGTCTCCCTTCCTCTCTGTAAAAAATTAATAAAACATATTAAAAAAGAAAAAGAAGAAGCTACTTCAGTGGTTGCCTACCAGATAACTGTTGAACATTAAAAAGAGGACTTTGTTTCATTTGCAGACTTCCTTGGTGCTGCCACTGTCCCTTGGGCACCTGACAAATGTGTGATGGTTCCACAGCTTCAACTTTCACCCAATTTTCTTTATTACCATTTATTTGTGTTCATGTGTTCCTCACTCTTTTTTAATGGACTTCATATTTTTCTGAATATTTATTTTTAGATCCTCTTCAGCCAAGTACACATTTCAGGCAAGACAAAACAGAGAACAGAGAACTCATGTTCAGGAATTATAGCAAATGCTTATTGCAGAATGCTGTTAATTGCATTAGGTATTGCCTGTCTTGCTGAAATCAACTCTTTACATTTCAAATTTAGGAAGCATTTAAATATGTGTTAAAATTGCATGCATATCAGTAACATTATATTGTTTCCCCAACTTTGTTTAATTCCCTAAATTTAACCACAGTTTGAATTGTTTTCAAAAATGATTTGTTTGTAAAATAAAACTTGGAACCATACTTTTTAAAATTGAAGAATAAAAGATGAGCCATAATAATATCAACAGTTGAGATTGTGTACTTAATTCACTATTAGACACTGCCATCTAGCAGGAAGCCAGCAAATGAAGAGTTACTACAACAGTTTCAGACGCTGGAGAGACCTGAAAGATGCTCTGATGCTAGCCACTGCCTCTGGCTTGCAGACAGAGGGGAAAGTTGTAAAACTGAGGCAGGGGTGCTGACTAGATGGTGGCTCTGCCACTCTGGTGTGCAAATCCCTGGGTTGCTTATTCAATGCAGATGGCCAGGCCCCATCTGAAGCCCTCCCTCTCCCCTCCCTCCCAGAGCCCACGGAAAGCCCACAAAGCCCACGGAGTAACAACACCCTGCTTGTGGTGTGACGTCACGAGCAAGCCCAAGATGGGCCATCAGCTTCAGGGGTGTCTCAACTTGAAAGAAGGACGCATAAGGGAGTGAGGTCCTGGAGACCAACTTGCCATATACAAAACCGTGCCCAACCCTAGGGTATTGAATACATTCCACACATGAAACTACTCATACATAGAACATGCTTTCCAACTATTTGGGGAGCTGGTTCAGTGAGCAGGGGGCGGCCTGTTGAAGCCATGGTGTTAAGAAAAAGGCCTTTTGCATGGTGTTTGCTAGGTATTAAAGACCCATTGAAAGATCCCCAGAAACTCTTAAAATCGCACCAATGTGATTTCTCTATCTCACACAAAACGAGGTCTGTTCTGAGGACACTAACTGCATACAAAAACACCCCGGAATCGGAATCGGCTCAGGTGGAGGCACCCAGAGCCCGCTGTGCCGGGCCCTCCCTAGGCACGTTCTCCATGTGCACTGTGCTCTGCACCGCCGGGCAGTGGAATGCTGGCCTAGCACACAGTCCCAGCAACAAGTGGTTCTCCGTGAAGACCTTGGGAGCGGGGGAGCCATTCTCCGTGCACACTGGCAGAGTTAGGTTCCAGAGTTGGTGGGACTGGGGAGATCCAGAAAACTTCATTCCCAGGCGTTGGAACCATGGCTTCTTCCCCCACCCCCGCCCCGCCCCGCCCCGGGCTCCAGCTGGGGCTCCGGTGTGTCACCTGCCTCCCTCAGCAGACACAGAAGTTCCCATCTCAGGCGGGGTTTCCAGACCCGGCGCACAGCTCCGTCTTCCCCTTAGACAGAGGTTTTCCTTCGCCGGGAGCCCCGCGGGCGGCGTCCGGCCTCCAGGCACCCGAGGAGCCTCTGTGGCTCCACCAGCACCCTGCCCGCCGGCGATCGCAGCAGCCAGGGCGGGACACACTCACCTCCTGTCCTCTGGGTGCAGGAGGCTCGCGGCCTGCAGCCCGGGTTCCCCCTTCCCGCTGGCATCCTGAGCTGTGCCAAGACTCGGAGAGGAGATCGGGGAGAGGCGGGCGGGAGGCCTCTCGGCGCGACCGGGCCGGCGGTCCTGGGTCCGGGTTTTCGCTGAAGCTTCCTGTTTAAAGGCCAGTGGGACCTAGGCTCCAGGCCGGCCCTTCTGCAAGGCCCTTCCTGGGAGTTTCCGGAGGCCCTGGAGATCCTCTCCTAAAGCAGGTCCGAATTGGTAAGATATGTACATATATAATACCTTAATAAAAAAAATGAAAAAGTAAAATGCTAAAAATAAAATAAAATAAAATAAAATAAAATAAAATAAAATAAAATAAAATAAAATAAATAAAGCAAGTCCGGGGCACTCTGCTCCTCAAACTCAAGGAAGCCTGGAACGTATTCAAAGTCACGTACGGAGTTAATCAATAAAGAAATTTAAATCAGAGAGAAATGTCATGGTATATGTCGTGATGCAACGTGCAGCTTTTCATATGCAACTACCGTAAGTTCAGACTAAACCATTCTGATTTCACTCACCTAATGGTGCACATATAACTGGGCACAAGACACAGTTGCAGGTATATTCAATGCTGCTTGCTCACATATTTCTGAGCATCCAAATATGAGGATACTGAATAACTTAAAAATATTGAAGCATCCATCTTATATAAAAACTGCTGTTTGAAATTTTAACCCTGCTATTTGGCTTCTGTAAATGTTTGCTTGCTTAAATACCCTGTTTCCCCAAAAATAAGACAGTGTCTTATATTAATTTTTTCTCCCAAAGTTGTGCAAGGTCTTATTTTCAGGGGATGTCTTATCTTTCCATGCGCTAGGTCTTATTTTCGGAGGATGTCTTATTTTCAGGGAAACACGGTAAAAAGGAAAATAAGACTACTCCCATTTCTGGCACCAGGCCAGGCCTTTGGTTGAGGTCTCAAGGCCCAGCACATAGGGGCTCTTTAAGAACTTGCAAAGGGGGCCAGAAACACCCTGCCCGTATTTGGGAGACAAAGAAGGTAAAAACATATAAACGGGGAAAGTTCCTCCATGTTGGGGCCCAGAATTTGAGAGACATTTTCCTCTGGACCTGCGCATAATAAATGTAACTCCATCTCTCTAAAAAAAATAATAATAATAAAAAAAAAATACATCACACGATCTCACTCATTTATGGATAATAGAGAACATTATAAACTGATGAGCAAAAAGATATATACAGTGACAGTAAAGCAACAAACAGACTGTCAAATTACAACGGAGAGAGGAGGGAGATATGGGGGAGATAAGAGATCAACCGAAGGACTTGTATGCATGCATGTAAGCAAAACCAATGGATGCAAAACTCGGGGGGGGGGGGGAATGTAAGGGGGGGACCAATGGTAAGATATGTACACATATAATATCTTAATTTAAAAATTGGGGGGGGGGGGGGGACTGAGAATTTTCTAAGCAAAGCAAAGGCCTGAGCACCGTTAGTTGGGACCAGTGTGTGGTAGCTGGAGTGCATGATCATTTGGGTATTTTTTTTTATTTTATTTATTGGGGACGTAAAACTGGCTTCAGGCTACTGAGTTCCAAATCCAGACACCCCAGTGACAGTTCCATGGCCTGGTCTAGAGCGGTGGTGATGAAGGTAGGGAAGCATCTCAAGACCGGGGGAGGGCTGGGCCTCCACTGGAGCGAGGGAGGCTCCCAGGGCTCAAAGCCCAAAAAGGCACTGACCCTGCTGGACACCCGCCTGGCAGGACCCTGAGCGCAGCTGCTGCCTGGGCCTGCCTCCCGGTGGCCCCGGCCCCTCAGTTGTCCTCTCCAGGAAAATGGGTTGGTCGTCATGGTAGCAACTTCCAGAAAGCCCCAAACACAAAGGACAACATTGATAAACTGGATATGTGCAATACTGTACATTTGTCTAACAAGGAATTCGTATCCAGAGTACATCAAGGAGACCTACAATGCAATAAAAGAAGAATCCAATAAGAAGGGAGGAGCCCTAGCCCGTTTGACTTGCAGTGTTTCCCAAACTTTTGACATATGTGTGGCCCTTCTATAATTTTCGTAACGCTGAGTACCCCACCCCCCGTACTCATGAGAACGTAGAATTAGGCGCAGCTAAGCACGGTGCAGTGCATATCCCCACCAAACTCCGGTGCAACGCATAGCCCCACCAAACTCTTCCCCGTACTCCTAGGGGTCCACGTACCACACTTTGGGAAACACTGGGCCTTAGTGGATAGAGCTGGGCCTGGGGACTACCTGGTTCCATTCTGGCCAAGGGCATATGCTCGGTTTCTATCCCCCAGCCTCCAGGAGGGGGCCTGCAGGAGCAACCAATCATGGATTCTCTCTCATCATTGATGTTTCTATTTCTCCCTTCCTCTCTGAAATCAATAAAAAAAAAAAAAAAAAAAAAAAAAAAAAAAAAGTTATTTTAAAAATAAGGGGGAAAAGGCCCTAAGGCCCTAATCAGTTTTATCAGTGGATAGAGCCTCGGCCTGTGGACTGAAGGGTCCTAGATTCGATTTCGGTCAAGGGCACATCCCGGGGGTGGGGGTGGGGGGTATGCAGGAGGCAGCTGATCAATGTTTCTATCGTCCCTTCCTCTCTGTAAAAATCAATAAAATATATATATTTAAAAATAAGAAAAAATATTTTAAAAAAAGGGGAGGGAGTGCGAAAGGGGCCAAAGATATACAGCGCTTTACAAAGAAGGAAAGTGAAGAGCCAATACGTATGTGAAAAGATGCTTAACTTCTTTTTTAAAAACATTATTTTTATTGGTTTCAGAAAGGAAGGGAGGGGAAGAGAGAGAAACATCAATGAGAGAGAACCATTGATTGGCTGCCTCCTAAACGCCCCCTACTGGGTTCGACCCAGCAATCCGGGCATGTGCCCCAACCGGGAATCCAGCTGTGGTCCAAGTTCAACCACTGAGCCACCAGGGCGGGGCACACCTTTTTTTATGAATCAATGTAAACTATAGGTTTAACACATAACCCCATTTTTCCACATGAAAAAAGTTTCATAAAGGTTAAGTGACTTGCCCAAAGATATTTTAGTTAATGCCAGTTGATTTTTAAAACCTCAGTTGGGTCCAAAAATCGGTGTTGAAACGATGCTTTCTAACAGGGTGGTCCTAATTCATAGGTTTCACCTGCCAGCAGCACCGTTACCTATAATAACACATTTAATTATTTTGTGTGATATGCAAAGCAGGGGCCCATTCTTATTCTGAGATTGTGCCTTTCTTACTCCTTTGCTATTAAAATGGCCTTTCTTTTGAAAAAAGTTGTTAGTCCTTCAAAAATATGTTTGCATATTTAACACTTGGACCCCCTGCCGCACCAAACGCGTTATCTGTGGGGTACGAGGGGAGGGGAAGTACGGGCGCGAGGGTCTCCGGTTACAAAGGACCGAGATAGAATGCCGCTCGTTGGGCGAAGGAGTGAAAGCAAAGGAGCCCTGACCCGGCAGCGGGCCCGGCACCCGGGAGGCTGGAGACAAGGACGCGCCGGACGCCCCCGACTCCGCGCTCCAAGACTCGGAACCTTCTCCGCCCGCGGCTCCGCGCCTAGCGCCCGGCAAACCCCGCGCACGCGCAGAGCGAGCGGAGGCCGGGAAGGTGCGCACGCGCACATCCCACCGCCGGGCGGCGCTGTGTGCGAGTCTGACACATCGTAACTCTCGCGGTAGGTGAGGCTAGGCATAACGGAAGTGAGTTTCCGGAAGTAGTATGGTTGCTTCCGGGAACTGGCCAGCTCCGCACGCTGAATTGCCGGCACCATGCAGTCCGACGATGTGAGTCTCCTGTGCTCTGCCAGCCGGGGTTTTCGCAGGGTGTCTCGCCGTCTTTCGGCGACTCAGAGGCGCGTACTCAGCTCGCCCACTGCCTCGCGTGGCTCTGGAAGCGGGGCTTCCGGTTTCCGGGCGTGGGGCTCTCACGTGTCTGCCCTGAACCTCCAGCCCGGGGGCTCCAGCGGGGTTCGGGGGCCAGAACACCAGCTCTCAATGCAAAGGGTGGGCGGGTCCAGCCCCTGTGCCCAGCGACGATGGGCTGTGCGTCTGGGCCTTGGGGACTTGAGGGGCGGGTAGAGGTTGGGGGGAGGAGGAGGGAGCGCGATATGGCGAGTTTTCGGCATCAACTTGAAGGATCTTTTTCATGCATGTGCACCTTACTTTTCAGTCTGCTTTTGCTGGGCTTGGATTTTTCTTTACTTTTGTTCCACTGTCTGCCCAACTTATAATTTTGTCTGATCAAGTTATAACTTGATCCCCAGTAGGAGCCGTGCAGGAGGCAGCCAATCATCCTCGATTCATTCATTGAGTAATTGGCAGGAGAAATACCTGCGTGCTTACGGTGTGCCAGGCATTGTGGTAATTCCTAGAGATGTGGTTGTTCATAAGTCGGGCAAAAGACCTGCTTCCCTGGAGCCCTCTGTCGGGGGACAGGTGAACAAATAAGGGCAATTGCGGTGCACACAGTACTTTGAAACACCAGAGGTGGTGAAGTAGAGAGCCATTGGGAGAGACCACTTCAAATAGGCCTGATCAGGGAAGGTTTCTCTGCATAGAAGACGTTTGAGCTGAGATCTAAAAGATGAGGATGACCCGCCAATGAGGGGCTGAGCTAAAAGCAATCAACCCAGGCAGTAGGAGCGTCAAGTACAAAGATCTGGAGGTGAGAGAGAAGGAATATATTCAAGGATCACCATGAGCGTGTTAAGTCTTGTGAGAAGTGTTTTTAGGGATTTCATGGGAAATGACATCTGGTTTAAAGCTGTGCAAAGTTCTCTAGTGTGAAAGGTTTTTGGAGAGAAAGAATGAAAGGAAGGAGACTAGAATATCGTGAAGGAAGCTTCAATTAAGGTAGTCATGGTGGATATGAAAAGAAATGGATAAATGTGAGATGTGAGTAGAAAAGAGTTGGCGATGGGTTAAATGAAAAAACGAGAGGCCGAGGATATTTTGATTTGAACAAATAGTTGAGTGGTGATTTTATTTCTGGAGAGGGCAAGACTAGGGGAGGAGCACAGTATTTTGAGAGATGGGGAGTCTGAGAGCTCCATTTGGACATGTTAATGTGTATGATGATGCCTTTTAGACAACCAAGCCGAGATGTCAAGTAGCAGCTGGATGTATATACAAGTTTGGTGCTCAGGAGAGAAGTTTGGCCAGGAAATAAAAATTTAGGAGTCATAATTTAGAGATATTTAAAAGCCACCAGCCTGATTGAGCTCCTACTTCTCCAGTTTCATTTCCTCTAACCTGTTTCCTTCCATTCCCTGTTAAACACATCCTACGAAATTACAAAAACGTTTGCTCCCTTCTTTTATATGTGTCTTTCCCGTTAGCTACTTTATAAAAAACCTTTCCCAGTTCATCAAGGCAGCTTGCTCAGAGGCTCACATACAACATACACCTCTTTGGTACTTTGCTGCTTTGTGTATGTGTCTTTCTCCCTAACCAGATAGATAACACTCTTTAAGGACCAAACCTGCCTTCATTCAACAAGTACTTGTGTGCCTCCTGTTTGTGAGGATTTGGGGATGTCAGTGCCTTACATAAATTAAGTACAAAAAATGCTGAATGAATAAAGAGCACATTAGCCCAGGTCAGGTAGCTGGGTTGGTGCAGTGGTCGCCAGCGTTTCAGACCTCGCAGACCACCAGTTGGCAACCACTGGGTTAGAGCATTGGCCTGATATTCTAAAGTTGCCATTTCAATCCCCGGTCAAAGCACATAAAAGAATCAACCAGTGAGCATGGCAGTAAGTGGAACAAGAAGTTGATTTTCTCTAAAAATCAGTAAAAAATATAAATAAATAAAAGTATAAAAACCACACATTGCGAAGGATAGCAGTAGAATTTTTCTTGCCCTCAATGAAAAATTGTATTTCCAAAAGTCTAGTACTGGATAGTGAACATTTAGAAAAGGAAAGTTACAAAATATGTAATATGATCTCATTTTGTTGAAAACATACATATAGGCATACTAGTTCTTAGAATGTATACACATATGGGAAAACTTGAAAATATTTACAAAATAATAATGAAATATATCTGGGTAATAGGTTATGGTTATTATTTGTGTTTATTTTTCTATAAGAATCTGTTATATTACACATATAAAAGAAGACTTTTAAAAAGCACTTTTTCGTCATTCCTCAAAGAGGTCTCTCCTTAATAAAAGCTTAGGGCATTGTTGGATCAGTATGCCACCTGTTGGATCAGAGCAGTTGCAATGGGTTTATACTTTGTCTTGCAGGTTATCTGGGATACACTAGGAAACAAGCAGTTTTGTTCCTTCAAGATAAGGTGAGTCTAGATTTGCAACTTGAACAGATTCCTCTAGTTGCCCTCTTGGTAACTCATCTTGTAATGCTTGCTTTTCCTCCCATTCTAGAACCAAGACACAGGGCTTTTGCAGAAATGAATACAGCCTGACTGGCCTGTGTAACCGGTCATCCTGTCCCCTGGCAAACAGTCAGTATGCCACTATCAAAGAAGAGAAAGGTAAGGCCCAGTTTCAGCTTTCACGAGAACTTCTTTTCAAAAGATGTTCTTTAGTCTCTAAATGATATTAAAGGTATTTACTTTATCCTGCAGGACAGTGCTTCCTGTATATGAAGGTGATAGAACGAGCAGCTTTTCCCAGGCGGCTCTGGGAACGGGTAAGACTTGGAACGTAATTTTACGATGACCATTACTCAAGAGCAAAAATGCCACATTTTCCCTCTTCCGTGATCATATCTAGATTAAACTCTGAAGCCATCCTTATTAGGTCCCATAGTGCCGTTAATAGTGAAGACCTAATCATTTATCCTTGCCCTTCAAGCTTCTTTTTTCTTTTCTTTTTTAAATATATTTTTATTGATTTCAGGAAGAGGAAGAAAGATAGAAACATCAATGATGAGAGAGAATCTTTGATTGGCTGCCTCCTGCACACCCTCTACTGGGGATCCAGCCACAACTAGGAGTCAAACCATGATCTGGTTCATAGGTTGATGCTCAACATTGAGCCACACCAGCTGGGCTCAAGCTTCCTTTATCTGTTTGATAGGTCCGGCTTCATAAAAACTATGAGAAAGCACTGGAGCAAATAGATGAAAATCTAATTTACTGGCCCCGTTTCATTCGACACAAGTGTAAGCAGAGATTCACCAAGATCACCCAGTACCTAATTCGAATTCGAAAACTTACACTAAAGCGACAGTAAGTATTTGGATAATTTATTTTTATATCTATTTTTTAATGGATTGTACAGTAGGTCCTCAGGTTACATTGGAGATCCATTCCTATGGCGCAATATAACATGCTTTTCTTTTTTAATATTATTTTTATTGATTTTAGAGAAGGGAGAGGAAGAGAATGATAGAAACATCAATGACGAGAGAGAATCATTGATCAGCTGCCTCCTGCATATCCCCTCCTGGGGATCAATCCCGAAACCCAGGCATGTGCCCTTGACCAGAATCGAACCTGGGAACCCTCAGTCCGCAGGCTGAGATTCAATCCACTGAGCCAAACCAGCTAGGGCCATAATGCGATTTTCACCATAAGTCGGAACCCACCTACATAAGACCTCACATGGAGCACATACACGGCAGTAATGAAATGAAACAGTAAAAAAAATTTAAAGCAAGATAACAATTCCTGACCTTTTCTATGGTAAGTATTGTAAATAATAAAAAACATAAAGCACATATATACATACAAAAAATGATGGAACTTTTTTTTTAATAAATAATGGGAGGTGGCGACATAACCATGAAATGACATACATCGAGTCCGATGTAACCTAAGGACTGCCTGTATTATGAAACAGTGTTGTGGAACCTCTAGTAATACTCTGTATAAAATTCAACTGGGGGTAGCCTTTTGTGGTATGCTAAGAATAAGCTTCACCTCAGGTTAAAGGCATGCCCTTCGATTTTGCAGGAATTTTAAAATATAGTATAATTTGATTATCCCCTCCCTGTCTAAAAACCAGCTTCAGAACATTGTTTATAACTCCCTGCAGGAACCTTAACATGGGGGGGAGGGGGGGTGTGTTTAAAATGACCTAAAAATGTGAATAAACAGGAATGTAAGAACTTTACTCTGAGTACACTGCAAACTAATTTTTAAAAATGACATGAAATCCAGACTTAATGGACTCGTGACCTGTGGAGAATACTAAAGCTGTCAGTCTTTTTTTTTTTAAGCTATTAGCCTTCTACAACAAAGTCCTTTTAGTTCACTGAAGCATTGTTGGCATAGTGGATGTCCTTAGAAGTCTCAGAATGCCTCAAGAAAACAAAAACAGCCACTTTAAAGTAGATACAAAAATGTTTGATTTTTTTTATAGCATTAGATTTATCTAGAAAATTTTAAGTATATAATCTTGCTGTATTGCTCTGAATCCTTCAAAATGAATTCCAATCCTTCTCATTTTTTAAAGGAACACATAGCACATGTACTTGGATTTTCTGATAACGTGTTATTTCTCGTAGGAGGAAACTTGTTCCTTTGAGTAAGAAGGTGGAGCGGAGAGAAAAAAGAAGAGAGGTAACTTATTGCTCTGATATTCATAATGTCTGTATTTTCATTGCAGGTAGGGCTATGTAGGTAGAAAAAGACTCAGTCACCATTGTCTGTGAGCTTTTCAAGCCTGGGTAACAGCAATAGTTGCATAAGATATCTGATATTCTATATTTTAAGATTGTGACTTTCAGGGCAGGTTAACATGTGGGCACTTGGGGATATATATATGTCATGGGGAAGACATACAGAATCCTTTAGAGAGCCACAGCTCCTTGCCTGAAATTCTGGAGGTCAGATGTTTCAGAATTCAGAATTTTAGTATGTCGCTGATCTTACATATTGCCCTCAGCAGGGTTTGAGCATACTAATCCAGCACACTAGAAGTTTTGCAGTGAAATATAAGAACGCTCTTTCACATTAGATGGAATTTTTTAAATCTCTAATTAGACTCCAGTGATATCAAATCATATTAGGCCACTAAATTGAGGTGTGTCTTTTTCATTATTATTTAGAAATTGTTAGTAAGGAACTGACTGGGATTATTTTTTGAAGAAAGCTGAGCAGCTTTGTTACCAAAGTAATGACTAGCAATGTTAATAGTCTGCTGTCATGGAAAATCTAGTCAGAAATCTCCAGTTTTGTCACAAAGAACAGTTGGCCTGAACTTTTCTTATGCTTTTCAAGACCCAGGAATTAGCTTTTCTCGACAAGTCCAACTAGGTATTTGCTTTGCTTACTTTCTTTATAGCAAAAGATATTTACCTGGTTTTCTCAAATTCTGACAAGAAATAACTTTAATAAATGCTTTTGTTTCCATTAACCCATGGAACTCTGTATCTCAAATCCATTTTATCATTGGTCTTCAAGCTTTTTTGATCACTTACCCCATCAATAAAATTTTTAACATATGCTCCTACTATATATCATTTATAAATGTTCTACATGCATACTTGCGTTCATAGGTATAAGTAATTGTTTGTGATGGCCTGGTTGTTAGCTGAGTAGAAATTTGTCCTATGGGCTCTCATAATTGACAGGTATAGCAGGGATGCTTAGAGAAGTGCATTGTGGATTGTTTGCTCTTTATTTTCATTCTCCACCACCAATTGTTAAAGAGGTGTTCATGCAAATCTTTCAGAAATTAAATTTTTCCATTTATACTGAATAATTTTGAAGCTCTCTGGAAAAATGCAGATTTTTTAATGTTTTGGGAAATTATGTTTCCAGATTTTTAAAGTGTGTGATTGAAATTTTTGTAGGAGACATTTTCAGAAATATCACATAGATGTAATTCTTTTTTTTTTTTTTTTAAGGTGGTCTATGCACAGTGTTTTTTTTTTTCTTTAGACTCACTGGTAAAATATTCCCTTTCTGTTGAAAGAACAGATAAATGTATTTACTTTTTAAAACTCCTGCAACATTACATAATACAGCCAGCCATTTGTCTATTTTCTTCCTACACCTCACTGGATCTGAGGTGTAGGCATCTACTTCAGAGAATAATGTAGAACACAGTACTTTTAACTGACCCCTGTGCCCCAGCCTTGCATTGTGATTTATCTGACACTGCTCATCATGCTAACACAGCTTCAGTGTGGAACACTTTGAAATCCTCTATCATTTCCACTAAATGCACAATCTTAGGCTAGAAAGGCATATTGAGGTTAGACTTGTATGTTTTGGTGGTGAGTGATACAGGTTGATACCATGTGTCATTTCCTGAAAGAGATCACTGAAGGAAGAGATTTTCTTTTTTGTATCACATGTCTGTTGGAAACATAAATGAATGAGGGTTTCTGTTCCCTTTTCTGTGAATCTGCTACAGGATTGCTTATTTTCTAAGACACTTAAATGTATGTAGACCTACCTGCTTTGTATATCTATAAAAGGCTTACTTAGAATTTAATTTAAAATGCTATTTATAAACTAGGTATTTTTTACATTGAAAGGTTACCAAGAAGGGATAAGAGGTAAAGAATTACATCTGGTTGGAGAGGCAGAAGCCCCCATAATAGCAAGAGGGAGAAGTGATTACATCTTCTTCTTTATAAAAACTTGATATATCATTTCTTCTATTTCTTCAGGCTGGAAAATGAATACTAGTGAGGTAAATGGGTTTGCTTTTTTTTTCTTTTGCAGGAAAAGGCATTAATAGCAGCTCAGCTGGATAATGCCATTGAAAAGGAATTGCTGGAGAGACTTAAACAAGATACGGTGAGAAAGCTAGGAGCTTGGGGTATGGATTTTGTCTTAGGTAGTACAATCATATTAGGCAACGTGGGACTAGTGGGAAATGGGTCTTATTTTTAAAGGTGCTAACAGTTCGCCGTGATTTTATTCCTGGAACAAATAACATATGGGTCCTGGCTTCATTTAAGTTCATTGGTGCAAGCGCATCAGATGTTTTGGTGGTTCTTTAAAATGAACTTTTATTCTCTTAAGACTTAATGTCATTTATAGAGACAGTATGAATAAAAAAAATTTTTTCTTTATTCCTCTTTATCAGCAAAATTTTACATTTGTCCTCCCTGTGTTCTATAAACTACTACGGTTTTAAGTGATTTTTCTTTCATCCTTCATAGAAGTTACCAGTTTGGAATTAACCACTGATTATTTAAATGTTAAAATGGGTTTTTTAAAGACACTGCCAACTCTAGACTTGAAAACAAGATAGAAATATTACTCATCAGATTAAATATTCTCATTTCACTGAAGAAAAAATACGCTTGTTGGACGGTGGACTGTAAGTGTGAGATTCACATATATAATAGTTAAAACCAATCTGTGTGTTCTCCAGTACGGCGACATCTACAACTTCCCCATCCATGCCTTCGACAAGGCCCTGGAACAGCAGGAGGCAGGGAGTGACTCTTCAGATGCTGAGGAAAAAGAAGATGAAGATGATGAGGAAGTAAGCCTTGATATATTTTTGTTTTGTCCAGCAGTAATCCACAGGACTAGCTCTATTTTGAGAGAGAGGATGTCATTATCATTCTCTTAACCAAAAGTAATGAAATGGTCTTATTTTTCTATTATGAGGTTAATTCTGATTCAGCAGTGGCTGCTGTGTACTCCATGTTCAGCTAACCAAATATGCACTGACAATTTTAGTCTTACTGATGGGCTTTCTAACATTTTTCCTGCGAAAGACAAAGGAAGAACCTTCATCAGCTGTAAGAATACATTAAGGAACCTACTAAAATTTACAAGGATTTAATCTTATTATTAACGTATTATGTTTAGGAGAAGGGCAGATTTAGCAAGATGTTTAACCACACAGTGTACTCACTCACATAGGTACAGAGACATACTTTGCCTATTACTAGTTTTTTATTATTTGAAACTAATAACTTGGTTGAATGTTTGTAAATCTTAAATACCGATTTCAGAAGTTATTAAACTTGGAAATAAGTAGACTTGGGTTGACTAGCAAGTAAATTCTGATTCTGATTGTTACTTATGCATTTAATTATCAAAGACTATAACACTAGTTGTCTAAATTGAATTTTCATAATGTATTTTGACCTAATAATTGTGTTTTATTTTAGGATGTGGGAAAAAGAGAGTTTGTGGAAGCTGATGAGGTGGATGAGAGTGACATAAGTGACTTTGAGGTGAGATTTGTGGGTGACAGGAAGAAGGGTTTCCAAACACACAAAGGCAGATAAATCCTCTAGTTTCTTCTAAATTGAGAGGAAATGGAGTTTGGGGAATGAGTCTACTAGAGTCTTCCCTCTTCTTAATTTCTTTCCCTCCTCATGTTAGGATATGGACAAACTGGGTGCCAGCAGTGATGAAGACGAGGGAGAGAAATCCTCCAGTGAGGAAGAAGAAAAGGCCCCTAACGCCAGACACAAAGGCAAAACACCCTTGAAAGGACCTCTGCGGAGAAAACGAGCCTATGTGGAGATTGAGTATGAGCAGGAGACAGAGCCTGTGGCCAAGGCCAAAACCACGTGAATTACATTCAGACATTTGTAACAGGACTGAACATTTTGAACTTTATCCTGCCCTCATATACATACCTCCAGTTTTTACTCTTTATTTTGTATGTCACACAATATTTGTGTTTTTTTGTATTTATGCCACTTCTGTAGAGCAAGAAATCTGGGGGATGGAGGAAATCCTTAAAGTTGTAAACAGTATTTTTATAGCTTTGGCATGTGTTGAGGTGATAGCTTGACGGATGAGTTTATTATTGTAAATATTTACAAATGGTAGCCACCTTAGGTGTCCCCCCCTCAACTTTAATCAGACATGTCTAGACTTCAGTTTTATTTTCTTGTTCTTTCTCTATTTCTATTAGAAAAGACGAGGAAAAATATCTAAATTAAATTGTCCAATAATAAAATACCTTTTTCTTTAAATAATTCCATTTATACAACAAGAAAAGCCTCTTCTCTTTAGGAAAAGTTTTTAAGTTCCACTGTAGGGAGCGCCTTCAGAAGCCTGCTGCACCTTTCTGACACACTCCACGACCTTCCTGTCTTCGCAGCTTTGGGGAATTTTAGCCAGGAGACCCTGAAACATGAAACCAAACAAGCTTTTATTTATTTTTTTTGGTGATTTTTGTCCTTTTATCTTGGTTTTTCTTTCTTGGTTTCATACTCAAAGAAGGAAAGAATAGATGACACTAGGGGGACAGTTTACAGAACAAGTGTAAATAAGAATTGTTGGCATGCTTAGAAATGGCTCATGAAGAAGCTGCTTAATACCAGCTGAAATGAATTAGACTGGATCTGGGACTTGAAAACTTCCTGAAATTAAAGAGCAAAGATGAAGTTTAATTTGAATAAACTAATAAGACAACAAACTATGCTATCTCTAAATATGGATTTCTTTTCATGCTGTCTTACACCTTTTCCAATGAAGACTTCTAATGGGATAAGAAATGATGCAATAGTTTATTAAATATATGTATAAACAAACACATAGCTATTATATGCTAGTAGTGACCTGGTACATGGATTTGTGCACACTGAAAGGAAATTAATTAGAAGGTAGCCAGTGGGGCGGGACTGAGAGATGGGCTGGACATGCCCTAGAGCCAACCTCCTGCAGTCCCTCTATGATCAGCCGCACCTGGGGTGGCACCGTGGCTCAAAGGGCATGTGCAGAATGAGTGTGGTCCCTCGGCCTGGCCTGTGGGGATCAGGCTGAAACCGGCTCTCCAACATCCCCTGAGGGGTCTTGGAGTGTGAGAGGCACTCTGCAAAGTTGCCCTCACACAGAGTGTGGAATGCAAGTGTGAGTGTGCAGTAAACCAGATTCGGGGCTGACAGTGACCCAGCAATAACATAACCCAAGGCTGGAGGTGGAATCGCACAGCCCCGTGAGGAATCAGGCTCCCTCTCTGGTTTGGGGTTGCATCTTGCAATCCAGGAACCCTTGTGGGATGTTGGAGAGCCAGTTTCGGTCCGATCCCCTCAGACCAGGTCGAGGGACCCCACTGGTGCATGAATCAGTGTACTGGGCCTCTAGTATGCATATAAGATCTTAGTTAATCTCTTCCCATCCTCTACCACCTTCCCTCTGAGATTCATCAGTCTGTTCCATGTTTCCATGCCTGTGATTTCCACTCCTACTTTGAGTGTCTGCCTCCTGGTGGTCAGTGTGTGTTATAGCTACCAGCCGGTCAGCCAGTCACTTAGGTTCTTATATAGATAGATGGCTTTGAGAAGTTATCTTTTGTAGAATATGAGACCAAGGAAAGAATTCCCATGTGAATAAATAAGAGTATGGAAAAACAGTATGGAAACCTTTCTAAATTACCCACCTATTTTACTCCTTGGTAGCTTATTGCACATTATTTCACCTGTTTTTGTTTGTTTGTTTAGTATATTTTTATTGATTTCAGAGAAGAAGGGGGAGGAAGAGAGAATCATTGATTGGCTGCCTCCTGCTGCCCCCTACTGAGAGGATTGAGCCCACAACCCATGGGTTGATGCTCATCTGCTGAGCCACACCTGGCTGGGCCTGTTTTTTCTTAACTGGAACAGAATTTACAAATACTTGATCATAATCCTTTCGCTCATTTTCTCTCCTAGGCCCAGAGATATTTTCTTTTTTCTGGGTGGGGAGCAAGGGTACTAGGTTCACTAATGCTGGGGACAATGAAACCAAGGAAGAAATTAGGATAGAAGGAACACGGCTTAGGCAGTGCTCAGTTCTGGCTCTCCAGAAATGTTACAGGAAAAAAGACCCCAGAGATATTTCCTAATCCTTCTGCCTTTTGATCTGATTTGTTCTGAATACCTTTGCTCAAAGTCTATAGGAGGTTAGAGAGCTCCAGAAGTGAGCACCTGAACCCTCCACATTCATTTACAGACGTGGTCAGACACATAAATAGCAAACAGGACTTAAGGATAATGAGGCCTAACTGAGACCACGTGGCATAGGTACTGTCCCTTACCTTCACTTGTCCTTGAGAGCAGCAGTCCAGGAGCAGCAGGCAGTCTGTGGCCTCCTCTAACAAAGCACTCTTAACAGGCTCAGGTGTAAGGCTTGAATCCCTTGCTACATCACATATCAGTTTCAAGAGAGCCTTCAATAAGACCACAAGTCTACAGGAAACTCTGGAATCAAGAAAAACTATTCACACTCTAAATCAGGATGTTAAACCGGAGACTTCACAAATGAAGGAACTAAAGTCAAATGACACAAGAGCTGGAAGCATAACCAGAGACCAGGGTTGATTTCTTTAAGCCCATTGCTTTCTGAGCACTGCCCACACTCACTGGCCTGCCTGAGAACACCTTGTTCCCCTGGGGAAACTTGGCTCCACTCAGGCAACAGCCCCTCCTGAGAAGGGAGAACTGGGACTTTCCCTTACCAGGGTCCTACACTTTTGGCCAGAGATCAGGAAACAGCCCATTGTCCTTTAACTTTTATGCAGTCTGGGGCTGGAAAGTTAAAAAGAGGAAATAGCTGGGCTTCTGGGACGTAAGTGTCAATCTGAATTTTCTATCTATCAGTTAAACCCCACCCTATTCAGTTATGCTTATTAGCCTTTCTAAGAAAATGGTGATGGTTGTACAAAATTGTAAATGTGCCTAATGAACTGTACATTTTAAAATAGTAAATGTTGCTGAAACCGGTTTGGCTCAGTGGACAGTGTCAGCCTGCAGACCCTAAGGTCCCAGGTTCGATTCCAGTCAAGGGCATGTACATTGGTTGTGGGCACATCCCCAGTAAGGGGTGTGCAGAGGAGGCAGCTGATTTTCTGTAAAAAATCAATAAAATATATTTTAAAAAATAAGTATAATTTAAAAAAAAAAATGTTTGTGTGTATGTTTTTCACCACAATAAAACTAAAAAGCTTTCATGGCAGCTGGAAAGTAATTTTAATATAGTGTGAAAATATGCATAATAAACTATATTTCTGGACAGAAATATGATGGAGAAGTTTGCATCCTCTGCCTTAGTCTAAAAAATTAAATGTTTTCCTACAATCTGTATATTGCTTAATCTTCTACCTGTCATCATTCCATATATAATCTGCTGTTTCCCAAGCCCCACCCCTCCACAATACATCACATTCACCTTCTAACCCTTACGTTTGTTCGCCAATCTCTCTACTTTGAATCTTGGTCTCTGCTCTTTAAAGGCCTGACAGTATTAATATGATTCAGTTTCATTTTTCCATCTGTTGTATTCTTTAAATATTTGTGCACCTAATACCAGGTATTGAGTAAACTCTGGTACACTCAGTATACCAAGTGGTCTTCATCCTCCTGGAGCTTATAACGAGTAAACAAATGTATCCTGGTTACAAATGTGACTTAGGGAAACACTTGGGTACATTATAAAGAAACCAGAGGCCCGATGCACAAAATTCCTGCAAGAATAGGCCTTCCTTCCTCCGGCTGCCAGCATCAGCTTCCCTCGCAGCCCTGGCTTCATCCAGAAGGACGTCCAGTCTAATTAGCATTATGCTTTTATTATAGATGAGATAATATGGTTTAGAATAGATACATATTTAGTTAAGACACTGGATTCTAGATTAATTAAACTTTATTCCATGTAAGAAAGCCTTTTGTTGCCCTGGCTCAGTTGGAGTGTTGTCCCATGCACCAAAAAAGTTATGGGTTCGCCGAGACCGGTTTGGCTCAGTGGATTGAGCATCGGCCTGCAGACTGAAGGGTCCCGGGTTCGATTCCCGTCAAGGGCATGTGCATTGGTTGCGGGCACATCCCCTGTAGGGGGTGTGCAGGAGGCGGCTGGTTGATGTTTCTCTCTCACCGATGTTTCTAGCTCTCTATCCCTCTCCTTCCTCTCTGTAAAAAAAAACAATAAAATATATTTATGAAAAAAAAAAAAAAAAAAGAGTTATGGATTCGATTTCTAGTCAGGCACACACCTATATTTTGGGTTCAATCCCCAGTCCGGACCCATACCGGAGGCAACTGATCCATGTTTCTTTCTCACATTGATGTTTCTCTTTCTCTCTCTCAAATCAATAAAACCATATCCTTAGGCGAGGAATAAAGAAAAAGAAAGCCTTTTGGTGACTTAACATGTTTGGATGCCAGTTCACTGTTCCCAATACCTACTTCAAGCCAGAGTTGCAATGCTTTCTAAGCAATCGGATTCTAACCTGGTATTCTGGTCACTGTTCAGAATTGTGCTATCAAGTGCTCTGTTCTCAACTGGATGTAAAAAAAACATTAGGATGAACAAAGCTAGGCCTGTCTTTTTGAAGCACTTCTGCATGGCCTTTTAAATTGAACATGCCTTATTAATCTAGAGAGGTACACCTGAAGCAACAATGGGTACAGTTTATCTTTTAAATGACATTTTCTCAGTTACATAAGTATTAGAGGTATAAGTGGCATATCCTTAACACTCGGCACTGCATGTACATCTGGGCAAGTTCTGAAGAGAAAATCTGAGTTTCACCCCCTCACCACACATGTCTGCTGGCTGTTATACCTGGGCCAAGTATACTGCATCAGAAGTTTCAGTGTTTCCAATATCTTCAATCTAGCCTCCTCCTCTGGCCCATCGTAAACCTCCAGATAACCAAGGATGACTCGCTCTAGCCTCTTCAAGTGCCGGACGGTCAGAATCCCCAACCTACAAACAAAGGAGAAAATGTGACAGCAGAGGAATGAAGTCAAGGAGCACGGCCAACCAGCAGCCCGAGCACTCGCCTCTTCACAAAAGCCGGGAGGTTCCTTGCGTAGGTCCTGCGTAAGAGGACGCGGTGCTCTGGCTCCATGTGGGTCAGGACCAGCTGCAGGACCTCATCACAGTGTGTGGTGGGTCGAGCTGCACCTCCCTTCCAGTGCAGGCCCTTCTCCAGGACTGGGAACAGGTCCAGCAGACACAGCAGCACAGCCTAACAGAGTATGGACAGGAGCTGTAGCCATCTATCCGCATTCACAATACTCTCTGGTCTCTAACAACGTTAATAATCTATTAATGTAATGTCATAAAATTCTAAAGCATACTAGTTAGAATACATTAAGTGTATATTACTTTATTTTTTTAAATCTTTTTTTCTTTCTCTCTTTTTTTTTTTTTTTTTACATTATCTCTGACAGTCCCAAATAAGTTAATACTTTCTCCTCAGGACTGTTCTTTGTTAAACTATAAAATGGGAAGGCAGAGCTGAGACTTACTTTAACCCAAATTTTAGGAGTCTGAGTCTATTGTCACTGTATTACTAAGCCTAAGTGATACTTACATGTATACTTACAACAAAACTGCTCCTAAATAGAATCTAAAATGGTCCTCATTTGTATCCAATTGGACCACTCTATCTGAAGTTTCAGTGTTTAGGCAATCCCTTCTAGCTCTCTGGGCTCTCTGGTTTTCTTGAAGTTTTCTGGTAGTGTTTTTTCCCTCTTCAACACCATCTCAAGAGTTCTAATCTTTCTAACTGTTAAGTACCTGGATTTTCAATGCCTACAATAATATTTAAAAAAGAAAGGTGACAATGTGTGGGTAGGCATAAAATAAGAAACATGGTGCTAGTCTGTGTGACTCAGCGTTTCAATGTCGACCCGGGAACCAAGAGGTCACCAGTTCAATTCCCAGTCAAGATACATGCCTGGGTTGCAGACTCAATCCCCAGTAGGGGACATGCAGGAGGCAGTGGATCACTGATATTTCCTGACATTGCTGCTTCTATATCTCTATCTCTCCCCCTTCCTCTCTCTCTAAAAATCAATAAAACAGAGTTTTTTAAAGAAACATGGTTATTTCTAACCCTAATTTTATGTAACTTGTTTATAACTTGTTTCTTCTGTCCTGAGAATATTCTCCTCCTCCTCCCCGTCAAAGCTCCTATTTATCCTTCATAAGCAAATACCACCTTCTCTGGAATCCTCCAAAAACCACCATCAACCCTGGTTAGTTGCCTACTGCTGGACACCCACTGCACTTTATACAAACCTCTTTTAATAGATTTATCACTTTATACTGTAGGCATACGTATAAACATTCATATATTCACCTAAACATTTTCCAAAGGTCTTTGGCTTTAAGAAATCCTGTCTGATTCATTCACTCCTGGAACCTACAAAGGTTACTGGCACACAGAGGTATTCAATGTCTATCGGATGAAAGAATAAATGACACTAACACACCCAACATACAAGAGATTTCAAGTGTGTGTGTGTTAGTAATAAGTCAGCACAAAAGACACTTAAATTACATAATAAAAACAGAACTTTTTCAAACATAAACTTGCCCCCAAGTGATATGTAATTGACCCAGATGAAGACAAAATACTGGCTTTTCTGTGGCTGCTCAAGAATGTGGATGCGCCGAAACCGGTTTGGCTCAATGGATAGGGCGTCGGCTTGGGGACTGAAGGGTCCCGGGTTTGATTCTGGTCAAGGGCATGTACCTTGGTTGCATGCATATCCCTAGTAGGGGGTGTGGAAGAGGCAGCTGATAGATGATTCTCTCTCATCGATGTTTCTAACTCTCTATCTCTCTCCCTTCCTCTCTGTACAAAATCAATAATATATATATATATATTTTTTAAAAAGAATGTGAATGGTGGCTTGGTTTGGAGATATTTTCACCAGTCACTGCTACCTCCATACTTTCAGCTTGGCAATTAGTGCTCACTCTCCAAGAAAATGTCTCTCAATTATTTTTATTCACATAATGCCACTTCCCATTCTCCTCCTCCTCCCTGTCAAAACTCCTCTTTTTTTTTTTTTTCTTTTTTTTTTTTTTTAAGATTTACCAACAAATCTTACAATTACCTGAATGAGGTGGTGCTCCGGGGTGTACAGATGGTTGAAAAGGGCATGGTATAGGACCTGAGCCCTATTATACTGGAGCAAATCAGCAGCTGGCTGCAATCAGACAAATCACCCAATTAAAAGAAAAGTTAGCAAGGCAGGCAAACGTTAATAATTTTAAAAGCTGAATTATGGGTATATGTGATCTATTATACCACTCTCTCTACTTCTGTGTATATTTTAAAAGCTCTATGACACAAAGTTAAGAAAGAAATATACAAACTTCCTCAAGTAATATCTTGCACATTTGGATATAACCTCTGTCAGTTTGATGTTTTTGATCCTTGAAAATCAACTGTTACTCAAATCTTTCAGTTTGAAAGTGGCCTATGTTTTATGTGCACAATGTTTCTTATGTACTGAGTGGCCAGATTATTATGATCTCAGAACGCATAATAATCTGGCCACTCTGTGTGTGTGTGTGTGTGTGTGTGTGTGAGAGAGAGAGAGAGAGAGAGAGAGAGAGAGAGAGAGAGAGAGAGAGAGAGTATTAGAGGCCTGGTCCATGAATTCGTGCATGGGTGGGGTCCGGCCAGCCAGGGGGAGGACAATGGTCAGTTGGACGGCCTGTCTGCTGGCCAAATTCCTGGTTGAGAGGGAAATTTGCATATTAGCCTTTTATTAGGTTGGATATACACTGAGTGCCAGATCATAATAATCTGGCCACTCAGTGTATATATTACCTATGAGAGCCTCTAATAGGTTGGCAGATGGAATTAATATAAAGAGAAAAAATATAAATAAGCGAATTTAGTCACATAACGGCAATAATAGAAGCTAGTTAATAAAAGATGCAAACATACTAGTAGACAAGATAAACTAGTGCCATCATGGATGGGGAACCGCCATATGACTCATCTGTCCCATCAGAGCAGGGGTTGCTTACCACATTAAGCACAATGTGATGGAGGCAATGGACACCAAGGACTTTGTTCTCAGTTTGATAGTCATCTGAGATGAGCAATGATGGGGGAAGTATCCTTTCCAGATGTTGGTTCAGCCAGGGCCTAGTGACCTGTTGCAGAGTCCAGGAGAAAACATGTTTGGTGGCAGGGTTATTCTTCCAGGATTCCCTAAGTGGGAATGTGAAACCAAATAAGTACAGTTGACTAGCAAAGAAAATTAAGCTAAACAGAGTATGTTCTTGTCATTGAAAAAAATACATCCCATATAAGGTAACACCTGATGTTAATAACATACATTTTAAGATTTAAATCAAAATAACTTACAGAACTTACACTACATGCATTTAACATTTACCCAGAGCTCTGAATCTAAAGCTTATCCAATGAGAAGAAGCCAGTCATAAGCACAGCAATGTAAAGGATCTGTGATGATGATAGAAATGGAGACAGTGAGGATATGTTGAGAAGGAAGAGATAAGATGTCTTCAGAGTCGTCGTCTTATTATTATTATTATAAAGTAATCAATATTTGATGAGCAATTTGTAAATCTGAACAGCGACTAATGAGTTTACACACATTACTTAATCTTTAAAATAACGTATCAGGCAATATTACTTTTATGTTATAAATAATGAAACTGAGGATCAAAGAGATTATTTGACCTGGTCCTACAGAAGCAATAAAAGGAAGCACCACCAGCCTCAAAACTAAGCCTTTTAATTCCAAGTTCCGAGTAAAATGACAGCTATGCACACATTGTTTTCTATTAGTACAGTGCTACAGGTACCTTTGCAGCACATTTGGTCCAAACATCCATGAGCACCTTTGGTCCATGCCAAACAGCCCCTGACATTTGGTCCTGTCAACGATGTCCACACTTAGGAAAGTGCCTGCCCCGGCCAGCGTGGCTCGCCGGCGTGGCTCAGTGGCTGAGCATTGACCCATGAACCAGAAGGTCAGGGTTCGATTCCCGGTCAGGGTACATGCCTGAGTTGCGGGATCGATCCCTGGTGTGGGGCATGCAGGAGGCAGCCGATCAATGATTATCTCTCATCATTGATGTTTCTATCTCTCTCCATCTCCCTTCTCCGAAATCAATAAAAAATATATTTTTTTTAAAAAAGGAAGTGTGCCTGGGCCCAAAGAACCCACGTTTATTTATACTCCTGGTTTGCAGGATTAATACATAAAATACTATTACATTTTATTGGTCCAATAATTGTGTTGTGCCTATATTGCCAATAATAACCTTCTCCACTAGATATCCTTGCTGGTCACATTATACCTGGGGTAGGAAGATGGGCTATCATGGACCAAATGTCTTACGGACGTTTTGGACAAGACCACACACCAAGGATTTTTGGCTAAATCAAATATCTCCATGGTCATCGTGGACTGGAACTAATGTCCACTAATCACAAATACTAACACACCAAGTAGCAAGTGGAAGCTCACAACATAATACTTTATCTAGCCCTAACCCATTTGGCTCAATGGACAGAGCATTGGACGTGGACTGAAGGATCCCAGGTTTGATCCCAGTCATGGGCATATACCTTGGTTGCAGGCCCGATTCCCAGTTGGGGGCATGCAGGAGGCAGCTGATGGAGGTTTCTCTCTCATTGTTTACAATTCTCTATCCCTCTCCCTTCCTCTCTATAAAAATCAACTATATATATATGTATGTATGTATATGTGTGTGTATAGAAACAAAAACAAGCTATTTAAAAGACAGAACAGAGACTTAAAAAAAAAAAAAACTTTATCTAATAGCAATCTAAAGCTTATATTTTTCATCCCAAATACTGTTTCCATATCTAATAACCATCCCTCCCTATCTACTAGTGATGACTTTCAAGATCCCTAAGTTCAAACTAAAAGTTTAGATCCTCTCCAAGCTCCCATCTCCATCTCATTTCAGAGAGTTAAATCCAAATAAATGAGAGAGAATTTCCCATTTCCAGGGTAGTCGTCATGAGGACCCGCAATAACATTAGAAAATAGAGTCTGAAGACTTGTAGGCTAATGTCAAATTTACCACTAGCTACTTATGTCATTTTTAGAGTTCCAACCTTTCTGGGCCTTAAGAGATCTGCCCTAACAGCCTTCGAGCTCTATCATTCTACAACAGCCTGAAGTTCAATTCGCTGGCCCTTCCTGCAGGGGTACTTACTTATTCAAATCGGGCTGCAGAAGCCCCATGATCTCAGCAAATCTCCCTTTCTCATCTTCATTTTCTCCGTGGAGGAATCCCGCCACCGAACCACACTCGGCAACGTGAAGCAGTAAGGTGAGCACCTCTCTGGCCACGTCCCGAGATCGTGGCCTGGTCCATGGCTGCTGCACACTGTGTGTGATGGCAAACACGTAGATGGGTGCTGCCAGGGGACGCAGGCCTCTCTTCCAGGCAGGGCAAACCTGGGGCTCCTTGGCAGACTCCACTTTCCTCAGCAGCTTCATGAACAGCAGCCCAACTGCTGTCGCCCTCTCGGCCACGGTAGCGTAACCATCCCCTCTCCCTTCCTCCTCCTTGGGTGGGGCTGCAAACTTCTCCAGGGCAGCTGCCACCTTCCCCAGCACCCCAGGCACTCCGCCCTGCGGGGCGTCACTCCCCTCAAATAGCCGATCACACTCCGTGGCTTCTAGGAGAGCACCGAGGTCTTGCAGAGCTGCGTTTCTGGCTTTGCCCCGTCGGGACTCCTGACCGGTAAGATGGTGCAGAATCTGGGACAAGGCCTGTCCGAGGTCAGAAGAAGGGCACTCGCCGGGCAAGGAAGAGGCCTCCCGCGGTGGAGATTCCGGAGAGCCATCACGCTCCATTCCTGACCCCGGCAAGCGAGGGGCCGAGCTCCCGGGAGGACGAAGATGAAGACGAGAGGGGATCCGCTCAGGAGGCACCGGAAACTGGGATTCTCCCAGAGAACAGAACTAAAACCAAAGCAAACGACGAGACATCTTGGAGGGCGAGTCTAATCAAAGAGTCAAGTGTGCGAAAAGGAAAGGGAAAGCGGCCTCTCCGGGGGCAGAGACAGAATCTCAGCCTCCCAAAGTGAAGTGGAGAAATGACTCTCTCCTTCCTGAAGACTCAAAAACAAACAAACACAAACCCTGAAGCTTAACACGAACGCGTTTGCCGACACCTGCAGCCCTCCCGGCACCTCCTGAGCGGAGATGCGGTCCTACCGGAAGTCGGTGCCGTAAAGCGTAAGGCTAGCTTCCGCCTATGTACGTCAATTCTTCGTTGTTTCACGACATGTTGTCGTAAAGCAACACAGAGCGCGTTTTTCTAAGGGTGGCGCTATTGGGGAAAATTTGCATAGAGAGTGATCCGCCCGCTCATATTATTTCTGCTTTCACTTCTTAAGGTAGAAACAAAAGAAAAAAAAAATCACGGGATATCGGCTATGTTTTAAAAATATACGTGGTCTTTTGTGTCTACACTGAATACATGCGGACTAGGTAGGTCACCCTTTCTGAAAACTCAGTGGGCTGTGTCTGAGAATCCCTAACAAAAAAGCATAGGTCGATCCTTTCGGAGTTCATAAGCGTGATGATTGGGTGTTCACGCGGCTGTGTGAGGTGTGCCGCCCATTAACCTTGTTACGCTTTGGCACATGACCCGTCTGACGTGAACTTGAAGGATCCTTGTAATGCACCGTTGTCTCTAAAACAACAGTTTTTCTCATTGCTCCTTGCTTCGTGTCCGAGTGCCACCCAAAGGAATCCTTAGGTTGGGCCGTAACTTCCTGGTTGCAGTTGCAAGGTCTGGTCCAGGAGGGGGCGCCCTCGCCGCGGATGGGTGCGTGGGGCTATGGAGCTGCGGGGCTGGGTGGGAGATGGCCAGCTGCAGCGCCTATTGCTGCGCTCAAACCGGCTTTGAATGGGAAAGGGAGTCACAACCCCGAGCGCCCCTTTCAGTCCCAGCCGGTCTCACACTGCGTCCGCAGCGCTTCTCTCCCCTGCTCTGGGTTCCCTGAGAGCAGAAAGCCTGTCCAGGACCTGAACAACTTTGCAAGTTCGTACGGGACTTCATGTATTTTTATAGGAGGAGCCCGGGGTACACGGGCTAGAAGCCGCTTGTCATTGGTGCCAAGGCCTGGGCACGAGCGCAGGGAGACGGGCGTCGGACACCCGGAGGGGTCGAAGAGCAGGCTCTTGGGGGTAGAGGGGCAGGCCTGCTCAGCCTCGGCAGTGCACCCAGCAGGTCGCCTCCTGGCTTTGGGATTCCTCCAGCCTCCGAGCCCCCAAAAGTGCATAAAAAGCCCCCAAAGGATTGTCCTGTGGGGAGCGGGGGGGGGGGGGGGGGGGGGAGAAGGAAGAGCGGGGAGGGAGATGTCAAGAGTAAATTCTTCTCCCCAGGGAGAGATCTGCAGGACCCTTGGAGAGGGTCCTGCTTGCAAGTATCCAATGTTTCCTTCCTTGCTCCCTCCCTCTCTCACTGTATGGCCTTGGGCAAAAGTTCGCTAACCTCTCTGCGCCTTAATTTCTTTAACTGTAAAATGCGGGTAAATAACAGTCACTACTTCTTTATTTATTTTATTTATTTATTTATTTTTGGCATTGATTTTTTTTTTTTAGCATTTTTTCTTTATTGTTGAAAGTAACACAAATGTCCCCCTTCTTTTCTTTCTTTTTAAGTTATTATTTAATCCCTACTTAATCTTGTTATGAGAAATAAAGGAGTTAAATAGGCAAGCTGCTTAGAGCCCTCTGTTCATGGTTAAGTTACAGATGTTAGCGCTTGTCGTTAAGCCACAGCTTCTGTATTAAGGTACATCTTTTTTTCGGAGGATTCTTGTGGCTAGGGCCCTTCTCGGCCTCTTTCATTTGGCGGTGCCTCTTCTGACCAATTGGTGGCACTCATGATTTTCGAAGCAATTTCAAACAGAGATAAAAATCGTTTCCTTCCACGGGGGCTCTCCCATACTCAGGACCGTGTGCCAGCAAGATGCCAGTCCACAGACAGTTACTGTCTCCGTCCTGTGTGGGAGCCTGTCTTCGCTGTGCCAGGGATCCCTTGTGCTCAGTGGAGCCAAGATCTCACTCCCTGTGAGGAAAGTACTTGTATTGCAGAGGTCTCCCCCTACACTCACAGTTTCCTGAGGCCAGAGACCCTGCCCTTACCCTCGGTGCCTGGCACAATTTAAGTAATGCAATAAATGCTTGTTAACCCCCACATGTCCATCCACAGAGGACTGGGTGAACCGGACCGCCTACCTCCATACAATGCAGTTCTGTGCAGCTGTACAAAGGAGTGAAGATCGCCTCTGTGGAAAGCCCTGGGACTCTAGTACAAATGAAGTGAAAAAGCAAGGCTGAGACCATGTATAAGTTGCTTTTCTCCTTAGAAAGATGTGTGCATTTGCTTACATTTTAAAGAAGAAGCAAGGAACGTATAAATTACAAACTCGTAAAAATGGTTACACCTAAGAGAACAAGGTGAAAGAAATGGGAGTGGAAGCTAGACTTTATATACTGTGTTTTATAGTTTGACTTTGGAATCATGTGCATGTTTTACATCATTTTTAAAGAGAAACTAACAAAGCATTTTCAAAAAGAAAAGAAAAAAGCCATTAATCCAAGCACAGGGTGGGGCAAACAAAGGTTTACAGTTATTTGTATGGAAAATAATACAATAATAAATAAGAATATAAGAATAAAGTCTGTGTTTTTCAGACTCACAACTGTAAACTTGCCTTTTTCCACCCTGTATTCATGAAGTTACTCCTATAACTGCACAGAACAATAAGAAGCTGACTTTAAAACTCATTGTTTTCCTATATATTCTTATGGTGACAAAATCCAAGAACAAAAAAGGATAGCAAACAGACCAAACTACATGTAGATATAACATTTGTTAGTAATAATGCTAGTATTGTTATTTAGATGGTATTTTATACATTATGTACACTTTACATATATGTATATAAAATAGCAAATAAATATCAATATTGTTGGAAACCAAGGTCTTCAGTAAGAGTTAAAATTATGGGGTAGAATGTTGATGGAAACTTTATGCTGGCTGTATTGAGATAACAAAACCTGAACCCGCTCATTTATCTTAACTTCACAAAAAGTGAGACAACCAGATACCATGGGCCTCCTAATGCAATGCAATAGGAAGTACACACCATCTATGAGATATTCTTGCACAAATTTGAACCTAAATCTAATCAAACATCTAGTTCTAATTACCAAATTGGGAAGAAATATGGAGGACAAAGAAACAAATTAAATGATATCAAGAAAGTATAATCAGCCAAGGTAAGGATGTGGGAAATCCCACAAATTACCCAGTTTCATCAATAAATAACTGGCATGAAAGAAATGAAGGAAGAACTGACTCAGATTAAAAGCTTTTGAAGACATCTCCCTCAATCAAATGCAATGTTGGATCTTGTTTTCAATAAATGAATTGTAAAAAGAATATTTACATCAATTGGGGACATCTGAACATAGATTCATAACTAAGGTATTTATATAATTTGTCATCTAAACAGGGCATGTTGAGAGTTAAAGGAGACACTAGGAATAATTGTGCTGGTACAAAGGTGAAAATTGGATCAGTCCCATGCAAACTTGATTACCCTGGTATTGCACAACGTTATGGGGTTATTGTTGGTTATTATGTTTAATTCTTTTTGCATTATATTAGTTTCAGGTGTACAACATAATGATGCAATACAAGTGTTTATTGCAAAATGTTCACCACAGTATGTCTAGTTAATACCCATCAGCACACAGTTGCAAATTTCTTCTTCTGTGATAAGAACTTTTGATATCTACTTTCAGCAACTTTTAAATATACAACACAATATTATTAACTATAATCACAAGGCTGTACATTATATGCCCAAGACATATTTGTTTTATAATTGGACATTTGCACCTTTTTATTATCTTTACCCATTTTGCCTGTTCAACTCCCCTACCTCTGGCAACCACCAATCTGTCCTCTGTATCTATGAGCTCGTTTTTTTGTGTGTTTTTTTTTTTATGTTTTCTTAAATGTTTTTAAAGCTATTTGTTAGAAAAACAACACTCAAACATTTTAGTCTCAGAATAATACTCTTAAAAATTACTGAATCCTACTCACAAGGATGGCTGGAATCAAGAACACTGAAAATAAATGTTGGCAGGGATGTGGAGAAATCGGAATGCTTGCACATTGGTGGTTCAAATGTAAAATGGAGCAGCTGCTGTGGAAAACACTTTGACAAGTTTCTCAAAAAGTTAAAAATAGAGTAACATAGAGTTAAACATATGACCCAGCAATTCTATTCATAGGGACTTAACCAAGAGAACTAAAAACATATATTCATACAAAAACTTGGGCACAAGTGTTCATAGCAGCATTATTCATAATAACCCACAGTGGATACCACGTAAAAGTCTATCAACTAATGAATGGATAAACAAAATGGGCCATATAGGTACAAAGGACTATTATTCATCCATAAAAACGAATAAGGTCCTAATGTATGTTATAATATGGCTAAACTTTAAAGACATTAGAGTAAATGAAATAAGCCAGACACAAAAGATCCCATTTATATGAAATGTCCAAAATAGACAAATCAGTAGAGTCAGAAGTAGATTAGCGGTTGGCAGGGGATGGGGACAAAGGAGAATTGGCAGTGTCAGCTGGTAGGTATGGACTTTCCATTTAGTGTTCTGAAATTAACTGGTGGTGATGGCTACTTAAGCTTGTAAATATGCTGAACCTGCTGAATTTTGTACTTTAAAATGGTGAGTCCTATGGCATATGAATTAAATATCAATTTAAAAACCATTTTAAGAAAGTATTGAGGACTTCAAAGAACTTTGCTTTGTGTGAGATATTTAGATATTTTCTTGTATTAAAACTGACAAACTTTTAAAATATTGATTTAATTCTTTGAAAAATACCAACAAGGCCTGACGGGTGTGGCTCAGTGGTTGAGTATCGACCCGTGAACCAGGAGGTCACAGTTTGATTGCCAGGTCAGGGCACATGTCCGGGTTGCAGGCTTGATCCCCAGAGTGAGGCGTGCAGGAGGCAGCCGATCAATGATTCTCTCTCACCATTGATGTATCTCTCTCTCTCTTCCTCTCCCTTTCTCTCTGAAATAAATAAAAATATATTTTTAAAGAGAAAGAAAAATATCTATAATAAACCTATCAAAGGTTAAGTACTTTTTTTAT